GCCTGAGTCACTGACTCGCTGGTTGAAGTTGTGTTAAGTAGCCATATCCTCTTTCCATCGCAAAAAACTTGAGCTTAAGTGGCATAAGATATCTCTGACCATCGTCATTGAGAAACTTTGCCAATTGATCTACTAATGATGGAATGAATATTTTGTTTACTGAATCACATAAAATTTTGGCTTACTCCACCCATATATATCATATAAACAAAAGCAAGCTAGAGAAATGTAGGACATTTTTATGCAAGTTCGAATATGATCTTGAGCCAGGTACAAATAGAAATTTCTTTTATTTTAGATGATGGAGCCTTTTATTATGTAGTGATGATATTAATGATATTATGACATGCGTGCACAAGGAAGAAACAAATTAATGAGTTAAGGATTCAATCTGTTTTCTATGAATGAGATAAAAATAGAAGAATCGAGAACAATATAGAGTTTCTCCTTTTTTAGTACAAGCAATTAAATTTTTCAATAAGGACTTCAAAAATCTTTTTTTGGTAGTAGAATTTATAAAATATAATGAAATTGTGTATGTATATTATTATAGGAGTAATCTTTAGGAAGTACATGTAAATAAAATCACACTTAGGATGATCAAACTGAAATTATGAGTTAATATATGCTTTTAAAGTTGCAGATATCATAAAAAAATGTCCTTTTTAAAAAATTGAAGTTAGGGGCATAAATAGAATCTAAAATTCATTTGATTCTATTAGATCTAATGCATTGATACTATTAACTTGAATTGTTATATATGCCAACACTCGTTCTCGAACCAAGATGCACTAGCACTATTTACTAAGAGCATCATTTCTATCAATTTAATAATAATAGAAAATTCATGTTAAATTGTCTATATTCAATAAAATTCAGGAAACAATTAAGAAAGATACATTTTCATTCATATATTCATATGAAAATGTTCAATATCAATACTACTGAATTAGTAAATTCATATTTGTAATTTCATTTTTAATAATCAACTTTGTCCGCACTAGAAGCATTGTTTTTGTTTATATAGAACAATCAGAACTAAAAAGTTTTATTCTCAGTCGGGGTATAAGATGTATAATTTTTTTCGGAGCGATTTTGAGACCCAACGACTTAGTATAAAGTAGAATGAAATATTTAGATTCTTGCTTGTCTATTGTAATTGTGCTTTTCTATTTTTAAAACACAAGCCATAGGAAAGAAAAAACATGTAATGAATTAAATATTAATAAATATAAATTTCAATAAATATAAAAAAATACACAATAATGCGTATTTTGAATTAAGTAGATACAAAGATTCTTTTTTTTTCATATTACCTTGCTCTAACTAATAATATTTAATAAGGAAAACTTAAATAAAATAAAATACACAACACATTACTTACTTTTGTTGCATAAATTTTTTTTTTTGGCTTTCCAGTAAAACTAGATTTAGCTAGATTTAGCTAAAGAAAAAGATTTTATTGTCTCTAAAGATCTCTTATGTCCAAAGATTTCTATGAATATGTTTTTTTTGGCATGGAAGTATTTTTTTTGGAACTATCATTCAAAAAGTAAATGACTGTTTTTTTATAGTTGAATGTGAAAGACATATTCTTAAAAAAATTAATTTTTCATTTTTATTATCTATACTTGCTTCCATAAATTCCAAAAATCTATCAATAATATCATAACATCAATGATATCCTTGCACACAAATTTTAAAAAAAAGAGTATGATAAATAGGAAAATAAAAGATTCTAAATGATTCTATTTGATGGACAAAGAGTGTTTTCATAATTGCATAATTTAATAAATACATGTGTATTTTTATTTATTTTAAATTTAAGAAAGTAATTTGTACTGTATATGTATAATGTAATGTTAATATTTAATTTATGGTTATTTATATTAAATATTTATTTTAATATTTATATGTATATTATTATATTTGTATTAATATTATTATATATTAATGTATTCAATTACATGTTATAATTATAGTTATATGTTTTTTCTATTGCATTTTATCGATTATTGCATGATGATTCATTAACTTTTCATATCTACATAGATACAAACAAATATATCATCTCTAATGTCAATGACATAAAAGAGATATGAAATGAATGTAATTGAGATATAGATAGAATATAATGAAATAGAGCCATAAAATATGAGGCTCCTTGTGAAATTAGGCATGGAATAGAGTTGCCACGAAGAAGTTCCTAGAGTTACGAAGGAAGCTTCAAATTCATATTGTTCATGGGTTAAGAATGGGAGTTGAACTCTATTAGTTCGATTTCCCTTTATTCTTCAATAACTCAATGGATGAGTTGTTGGTTGTAACTGATTAGCCATAGATTCAAATCTTACTTTGGGAGATTTGATTCATTCTTCAATCTTTTATGAAGAATGGAATGAAATGACCAGTTTTGATCTTTAGAAGTAACTTGTTCTCTGTCTTTCTATCTATTGTGTTCTATCTCATCGTATAATATTTAGTTCTACAATATTTGAGAATCACTCTTAATACTTTAGCATAGATCAGACACTTATAAATAGCCAATTAATCAAATATGCTGTCATCGATTCTCCCGATAAGCTACAATTATCGCAAGCAAATATATTGATAATGTAGAAAGTATTTTTGCAATGCTACTCATACTTGTACTTGCTCTGCTAGTCTGCCCAAGCTTGACTAAGGAAGAGTTACGGCGAGTTAAACACAAATATAATGATTCTAGCCTGGATTTTGAATATATTATTATATGTAAGAAAATAAATCTTATTGATAAATAAAAAAAGTTCAAGCCATTCCATTTCAAGGAAGGATCATACTCAAGTTTAATATATTTGAGATCGCTACCCCGATCCTGATTTTGCAACCCCTAAAGGGAAAGACCTTTCCCTTTTGGACCATTTATGGGCGAGGTGAGATTCAAACATCTGATACTGTGGTTCATAGCCACAGTCTCTAATCCTCTGAGCTACAAGTCTCATCCCCTCAACCCTAGATATTTTCACAGTAGTACCTTGAAAAAGGAACATTTCTTCTCTTCAGTCATTTCGAGTAAAGACAATGTGAAAGCTTCTTTCTTCTTAAAATCAAGAAAAAGGCCATCTAACAAGTTGATAGATTTGAATGTTGCTCTTACGCAACATGATCAATTTGATTAGGCACTTGTCATCCACTTTAATTGTTCAACTATTTGGTAACATGAGATCAAAATAAAAAAAAGAAATAAAAAATCATCTTATTTAATAGCATCCATTCTTTCTCACTTCATGTTTTAGAATGCACTATTATTCAATGGAAGCTGCAAACGCTTCATTGACATCCATTTCCACCTTTTACTTTCACTC